CTTAACCAATCTATCATTGACACAGAAAAAAACTTTGACACATAGTAGGCATCCCATAGATATTTAGAAGAGGAATTAATAAATATACATTTTTGTCCTCTTCTCATAAGCAGTGTGGCAGAGAATATAAACAAGTTAACAGGCAGTACAATATAGCATGCTGTTTTATATCTGCTATTTTATAACATAAACCTTTATTCAAAAATATTGTATCAACCTACTTTTCCATGAGCTCATTTCCATCCTGTGCAACTACTTTCCATCTGAAATTCATCTAAATCCTACCTTTTGTTCAAGACAAAAGGAAGGTATTCTCTTCTATAAAAGATAAAAAGATAAAGCCTTTCCAATTACTTCAGATTCCCACCCATCTCTTCCTATGGACTACTATTGTACCTACTGTTCACTTGCTATTTAATCTTATCCTATTTTACGTTATTATTGACATATTCAAATGGACATACTTTATACTCCCAACCAGACTGGCAGTCTCTTGATGATCTGAATGTTGTTTATAACTTTCTTTTCCCATAATTTCATCTCCATTTTATGTAACAAAATTGTACACAGAGTTTTATTGCTGATTGTTTGGCTTTCAAAGAAACTCATGTCTACCTTTTTCATTCATAGGTTTGAGCTTTCTGAAAATGCCAGAGAAAATATGAATTGTGCTTATTTTCATAAAGGGAAAATTCACCCTAGCTCCTGCAAGAACAAACATCATTTAATGTGTGAGAAAAAGGCATGCATGGCAAAGGTGGACAAACCACTTTAATACAAAGAGATGGGAAGGTTGTCACAGGCAAATGATTGATTGTATAATAAAAGATCTGGATGAAAGAAATTACTAGCCATAAAATTACTTATTTCTTCCTTTATTTCCCCTGGAGTCACCTTAACATGATGTTTCCTACCAGCACCACGTAGTCCCCTCTTTATATATCTCTTTATATGAAGGGGTAACCTGGTCTCTTCTTTATACATCTAGAAGCTGGTCTGTGAGTTGATCTTTTATTCCCAATTGTGCTTTTTCTATTAATTTCCCTTCTGCTTGTCTTCCATTCCTAATGATGTCAACATTGTATTATATTATTCACTGTATCTTCAGACCTAAGATATATTTTCAGTTGGAACAAAACAGATCCAGAGATACAGAAGCATCAATCAGACTGTCAAACCTCAGAAGGAAAGCAGGGGGTGGCAAGGGTAAAGGAGAGAGGTCAACCAAAGGACTTGTATGCATGCATATAAGCCTAACCAATGGACACAGACACTGGGGGGTAGGGGGTGAAGGCATGAATGGGAGAATGGGGAGCACTGGAGGGATAAGGACACATATGTAATACCTTAATAAAGAAAACAAAAAGAAAGATTTGGACTTAGATGAGTTAAGCTGTACAAAATATTTAAGTTTGAAAGCCATATAAAATATCCAAGTTTGAAAGACAGCAGGAGATAGTGGGGAAAATATGAATCTTGGAATCAGAGAAAAAATTAGATGGTGTGATTATCTAAAGTACAACCATAGGCCAATTATGTAGTCTCTTTAACCTCCATTTTTGCATATTTAAAATAGGATAATACCTATCTTATATACCTCACAATTCTACAACATAGCATAAAACTTCAGAGTACTACAGTAACTATATCAGAAACTCCATGAAGGCAGACACTTTGGATTTTCTGTTTGCTAAGGACCAAGCACAGTTTCTGCCTCACAAGAAACAGAAAAAAATAGAGACTTCTCATTGTGTATAGCTCATTACAAAGCATCAGTTTAGTAAAACACTATGCAAATATAACTTCTATTCTAAACCTACCTCTTGAAAAACTCAACAGCAGTAATTTTCTGTGCAAAGAAGGGAAATAAAGTTCACCAGAAACCTGATGGAGTTTAAAAATGAGTAAATGCTTCTTATCAAGGCCATAGGCTATGAGACAGATCAGCAAGTAAAAATACTTTATCTAGTTCTTTTCCTGACAGTTCTGTGCTTGTTTTTTTGCTGAGTAACTCGTGAAATATTTATAGACGTGTGGAGAGAGGCACGCTTTAATATAACAGGCAAAAATTGCATTTCCTTGCCACAGCTTCTCTGAAGGTACACTTTCTTCTTTAATTAGTGCTAATAAATTTATAAACATGATTCTCAAACTTCTCAACTGAGGTGTTTGTGAAAACACTAGATGTTCAAATACAAATGCTTATGTTAAAAGGCTAAGGAGACAATCCTGCTTTTAATAAGCTCCCTTAGTTGATTCTGATATGTCAACTTCAGTAGATTTCAACTAGTATTACTTTAGAACTCAATCCCTATCTGGCTTTTGTAAGTTATTTAGTCTCTTTCAAACTCAGCTTTTCTGGTGCCTATAAAATTAGTTTTAATATTATTACCTTACTCATGAGGTAATTGTGAGGATTGTTGTGATTATATAAGGCATCAAGCAGAGTACCAAGCATGTAATAAACACTCAATGTGTATTACTTTTACAGCTTTGTATGCTAGCATTGAAAGATATTTAAGTCTTTATCTTGTTTTATACTATCTGTAAATGAATAGGTTTTTTGTTGTTGTTGTTTTTTGTAGGGGGGGTGTGCAGGAGGGAGGCAGAAGGAGGAATAACAAAAATACCTCAGATTCTGCCTCCACTTAAAATGTCTCAAGATCTTGGCTTTTCCGGTTAGTATCATTATTTTTCTATTTTCACTTTTTATTTAGAGAAACCAAACAGAAACTAATAATTCCAAAAACTATCTAAAAATCAATCATATGTCTTGACTTTAACGTTTTCTGTCCCTCAAATGAAAAAAAAAATATATATATATATATACATCACTATGGCACAACAAAATTTCAAAGACTAATATCTCAATGCATGGCAAAAATGTAATTAATTACAAATGTGACCAATAAAACTGTGCTTACAGAAATTCTTTGTTTTTTGTTTTTGCTTTTGTTTTTGTTTTGGTACTCATATCAAAAGCATTTTGTACATGAACTTGGAATACCACAGACTTTAATAGCACAAGTACTATGATCAGACCACTTGGTTTCAGATACTAACTTTTCTATTTACTACATAAGTAAACTGGTAAATAACTTGACTTCTCTGTGACTCAATTTACAAACAAGTTAATAGTAACACCTATATTATAGATTTGTGACAATCACAATAATTCATGTCAAAGCCCTTTGAAACACTACTTGGAAAATAATGAATAGCAAATAAGTATGATTAAAAACATCAAGTATAAAACAAGTAACATAGTCGAAACTGGTTTGGCTCAGTGGATAGAACGTTGGCCTGCGGACTAAAAAGTCCAAGGTTTGATTCCGGTCAAGGGCACGTACCTTGGTTGTGGGCACATCCCCGGTAGGGAGTGTATAGGAGGCAGCTGATCAATGTTTCTCTCTCATCGATGTTTCTAACTCTCTGTCCCTCTCTCTTCCTCTCTGTAAAAAATCAATAAAATATATTTTTAAAACACACACACACACACAAAAGGTAACATTAATCTTCTATTAGGAGAGCCCAAAGGTTTTAGAGAATGCAAAGTGCTGATGAAATTTAAAAGAATCTAGAGATTAATGGCAACACTTTGAATTATGTTCCTGACATTAGTCTTAATGTACATTTGGTATGTTTATTGTTTCTACTTTTTTTTTTCTCCTGAAGGTAGAAATATTGTCATTGATTAAGTCACATTATTTTTCACATCAGAATCTCAGGTAACATGAAAATCATATCAATATAAAATACTTGGAGAATTTTCTGGATATTCTTCATTTACCTCTTGAGTTCTTCTTATCCCAGCTCTGTGCCTTGGGAGGCAGAACTCAAATGAAAAGCATCATCAGGGTAGATTTGGCCTGTGGCTTCCTTATCAAAACTTCATAAACAGCATCTTTATGAAATAGAATACCCTTGAGAGCCATTTGTTTCCTTCTGTAGCAGAGATCGATGATTGATCCAGTGAAACACTGAAACCAAAGAGAACATTGCAATTTCACAGACTGTTGGAGTTTGCAGATGGTAAATTACTGAGACGTGACCTTTAGCCGTAGGACAAATGACCAATGATAATTAAAGTATCAAGTTTCTCAATACCAGTGCAATAGGCACAGGATGTAGCAGAAATAGCCATCTATCTACTAAATAATTCATGTGTTCCTTATAGAGTGAAGTTGTCATAGAAAGTTTGCCAGCCATGCAAAAGTTCCACTTATCAGTCTCAGCCTTAGATCCAAACACAGGTGTCACAATAGTGCATGTGGAGGTGATAAGTTATTTCTAGGGGATGGCTTTTAAGATGTGGATTTGCCATCTTCTCTTCTCCATTCCAATGGCTAGAAGTAGAAGACTTAATGTTTCACAAGACAGAAGGCATCTGGGTCCCATTGCAATGAAAACTACCCAGTAACCAAAATTACTGGAGCTAGAATGTTATGTGAGCAAGAAATAAACTTTCATTGTGTTGAACTGGTATTTTGAGATTCACTTCTCACAGCAACTGCATTAGCCTAGCACAGTGTGCAAATTTATTTTAGGGATGCAATCTCTTCCCAGCTTTCTTACTTAAGGATGCACAGTGATGGACGACGACTCCTTAATCCTGGATTGCCCAAAGTGAGCTACCTTTGTATCTTTGCTGCCTAGGTCATTCCCATGCTTTGTGTCCTATAACAAATGTAAGTATTATACATTTTTTTTGCACTTCTTTTCATTTTAACAGCAACTCAGTGATATCCCCTTCAACATCTGCTACATCTCACAAAACAGGCCAATCGCAGGTTCTGTCATTGGCCATTTGAGTTCAGTTCCTTTCTCATTTCCTTCTTTAGCAAGTGGTGCTATGCCTTAAACTTCATAAACTTCTACTTTCTGGATGAAGATGTATTATTCTATTCCTTAAACCCCAACATATTTTCCAACTGGTGTGTAAAAATAGCCAATTTCAGTTCTTTTCACCAATCTGCTCCTGACTACAAAAGGAGTTGTCTTGGCTTCTGGTGCGGACTGCCTCACCTCTCAAAGCCCCTCAGACATGCAGGATGAAGAACTCTATACCTCTCTTCAGTGGGACACTCCAACACCACACCCTTCCCAGAAACATCAGTCTTCCACCAAATGTTCAGGTAACCTGCTCTTATTATTTGGTCCAAGACTTTGCAGTGTGTGTTTTGTTTCCCATTACATATTGAGCCCAGGTGATTTTTCTAAATGAGGTAACCCATTTTAGAATATAATAATGTGCAGGCTATGCTAACATTAGAAAATGAAATAGCCTGGCCAGAGTGGCTCAGTGGTTGGGCATTGACCTATGATCCAGGAGCTCATGGTTAGATTCCTGGTCAGGGCACTTGCCTGGGTTCCCACTCTATCCCCAGTGCAGGGCATGCAGGAGCCAGCTGATCAATGATTCTCTCCCATCATTGATGTTTCCATCTCTCCTCCCTCTCCCTTCCTTTCTGAGATCAATAAAAATATTTTAATGAAATAAAGAATAAGAGTAGTAAGTAAAGATGAAATGGAAAGAGCAATGGACTTGACAAATGTGTAGTTCTATCTCTCTCTCTCTCCCCAAAAGAATTCCTGGATTTAGAAAAGAAGTGGGGGGAAATCATGTTTTTATTATTTCAGTTTCTGCATAAATACTTCTTTGCAAGTTGTCTGACAAATATTAAGAAATAAAGGGAAAATGGACATTGAAAAACTCGTCAAATCTCAACAGCCTTAAGCTGTCTGCTATAGTAATCAGTTCTGTCTTTATTAAGTTTAATATTTAATATCAGTTTCCTATTATTGAAGTAACAAATTACCACAGACCCAGGGGCTTTTTACAACACAAATTTGTTCACTTTGCAGGGGTCTTCAAACTACGGCCCACGAGCCACATGCGGCCCGCAGAGGAGTCTGATCCAGCCCGCCAGGTTTTTTGGGCAGTGAGCGCAGCCGAGGTGTTACAGTAGGAATTAGTAGTTCATATAGTCCGGCCCTCCAGCTCTCTGAAGGACCGTGATCTGGCCCCCACTTTAAAAAGTTTGAGGACCCCTGACAGGACTAGAGACCAGAAGTCTGAACTGGGCTTACTTACATTATGATTCATTAACAGAAGCAAAATTACAGTTATGGAGTAGCAACAAAAATAATTTTATGGTTGGGGGTCACCACAACATGAGGAACTGTATTAAAGGGTCACAGCATTAAAAAGGTTGAGATCCACTGCTCTAGAGGCTCCAGGTGACCATCCATTCCCTTGTTCTTTTCCAGTTTGAGAGCTGCGTTCCCATGGCTCAGGGCTTCTTCCTCATTCTTCAGAGCCAGCAACATGTCTGCTTCCAACATCGCACTGCACTCTGTCCCATTGAAATCCTACCCCTCACTTACAAGAGCCCAGATGGAAGAGCAGAATAAGCTCTCTATCTTAAATTTGTTCACTTAATTACATCTTCGGTCTCTTTTGCCACGTTAGGTAACATTTACAGGTTCCAGGGATTTGAACACAAGGGATCTTAGGCTGGTATATTATTCAGCTTAACCCACTATACAAAGATAAAATTTTATCTATTTTTCTCTGATTAGTGTTGAGAATACAACCAGTTACAAAATATTTCTTGTTTTCTTCCTTAATAGTTGCAAAATTACCTCAGGGAAAAAAGTTCCTCATTCAAAATTATATGTTTAAAAAGAAATGTCTTTGGTCCTGATGGGTTTTGGCTCATGGATAGAGTTCTGCTGACTGAAGGGTCCTGAGTTCAATTCCCACGAAGGGCACCTGCCCAGGTTGTTGGCCCGATCTGTAGGGGACAGATGATCAATGATTCTTTCTCATTATTGATGTTTCTATCTCTCTCTCCCTCTCTGAAATCAATAAAAATACATTTTAAAAAATGTTTTTGAACCAATCATGTTCAAGTGACGCTAAAAAGGGGTGAGGAGATGCACCATACCAGTATTATTACCTTTGCTTTCAAAAATAAAAGGTTGCTGCCTGATTTGTGACAATCTCAAAAATATTTTGGAAAAGAATACATATATCTAGTTAGTCTGGTTGTGGCATCATGTATACATATAAAGGTAGAAGAAGCATGTTCTTAAAAATGCCAGTTTCATTTAACATTTTTATAATCAAATGTATTCCCAATTATAACTTGCATTTCAAAGAGCTGGAGCTCTCTTCTCACTGTTACAGTTACATGGTGTCAACAATTCTGTGGTTGAAATGCCGAAGGTTAATTCCTTCTTTCACTCAGTCTAGTCTCATCCTGGCCCATCGGCCCTCTCACCTACTTTGTCTAACTCAATTTTATTGTCCCTACTCCCTGTTTAGGATCATGGTGTCTTATGATGGTGATAGCCTGTGTTTTCTGCGTGGGCTCATTAACTGCCTCCGTTTTCCTGGGTATTAAGTGTAAGTACAAAAGGAATATCTTTTCAAAAATCTGTATGTATTATATATGACATGTCATTTGACATGCAATTGCATCTGTATGTTATAATGAATAGAACTTTGTAGTTTACAAATGGACAAATAAATCAATTACAAACATCTAAATGTCAAACATAATAATTTTGTAAAGTAATTTATGGAACATTGATTTAATATAACACTCTAAGCCCTTGGATGCTGTTATAACTTTTAATGTTCAATGGCATGGTGTTTAACTCAAATCTAAAGCTATGAGTCTCTTTGGAGAAAATAATGTAAATAATTACTTATGTGAATCATGTTAGCATGTGAAAAATTTCAGGAAATGCTCTATATTTCCTAATATGCATTTGTTCTAAACTTGTGCAGATTATTTTAATAAGAGTTTTCGCTTTGCCACATGTGTCAAACACAAGGCCCGCGGGCCAAATCCGTCCCTCCAGGCCTTGCAATGTGGCCCGCACCGCCCTGTCATCACTGCACTCCGCTGCGTTTCCATCACAATTACAGTTTATGACTGTTCAGTAAACCATTTGGCCCGTGATTTAGGCTGGATTTTAGATTTTGGCCCCTTCTCTGATTGAGTTCGACACCCCTACCTGAGTTTAGACAAAGAGCAATTTAATGTTTAACATAAGCCCGAGAACTTTATTTGGGCCATATTTAATCACATTTATTTATTCCAAATTTGAAATGTTTCCATCTCTAGCAAGTGCATTTTTTATGTAATATAATAATTACAGAGCTGCAAGTTCCACAAAAATGACTAAGAAAATTTATTATCACTCATGCCTCCAAGAAATATGCTGAGACAGAGATGAAGGTTATTGTCTAGATGATTTTTCTCTCTTGCATGCTTTGGCAAATCATTTCTCTCCCTAGGAGGCATTAGCTGGTGACTGAGAATTATGAGTTCTGAAATGAGGAAGAGAAGGGCTCAGATTTGCTTCTACAAAAGTACAGGAAACTTGACCTGAATCAGTTCAGCTATGAGTTCATTTTCCTGGTGGTTCTGAAAGGAATGCTTTAATAATTACTAGGAGCTCAAAAGTAATTGTTACTCTGTCTATCTCCCCAAATAAAATTTCATAGCCTAGGATAAATATTAGAACTTCAAGAAAGCTTTTATCTCATCTCATCCTCTCTCTGTGCTTTATATTGTATATATATATGCTTAAATATATATATTTAAATAAACATATTTAAATCAAATGCCAATCTTTATTTAAAAGAAGATATACTGGAAGCAGATTTGCAGAGTTGAAAGAGAACTAACAGTTAATTAACATATTAATCTAGTTTCTTCTGTAAAAATATGGCCAAGTTTTATTCTAACTATAAGAATCCATATTTTTAAAAAATAGGCTGTATTTAACTGACATTGCAAATATCAACAGCTGTGGTTTGAGTATCAATTCTATATAATAAATGTCAATGATGTGCTGTAAACTACTTAGGGTGAGAAAATGAAAAAAAATACAAAGAACACTTTCAATTAAAAAAAAGATTAAATGAAGATGCAACATTTTGAAGTGAACAGGATATAGAATTTGTTTTTATATAAAAACTAGAGGCTCGGTGCATGAATTCATGCACAGGTGAGGTCCCTCAAGTATCTAGCTCGCACCGCCAGCCTAACAGCCCCTCCTGGCACCCAGCCATGGCTTGGCGCCACCCCCTCACCTCCTCCACCATCCCACCTTCAGGGCAATCAATGGGGGCTGAGCCCCCCACCCAGCTCCCTCAGTGCCTTGGAGCCAAGCAGCTGCACCGCCCCCTGCCATTGCTGTTGGTTGCCATCTGCAGGGAGACTAGCAAGCGATTGGGCCTCTGACTCACTCCTGCCTTAGCCCAATACTGCTCACTCACCATCCCACCACAGTCTCACTCTCATCAGGGCCCATCGGAGCCAGCAGTGCCTCCACTGCTGTTCACTGCCAGCACTGCAATGCTAACACCTGCCATGTTCTGAGCCACCCCTCATAGCGAACATCTGGTCAAACTCCTGAGAGGACAATTTGCATATTAGATCTTTATTATATAAGATAATGTATCAAAAATTAATAAAAATAATTTATCCTCTGCAATCAGCAATTCTTATATCACTGAAAAGCAAGTAGTATATACTATAATACATATGTTAATGAAAGCATACTGTACATTTCCTCAAAAACTTGCTCTCCAATGAATACTTAACTTTTTCTTCTCGCATAGTTCATAAAATCTGTTTAGATAACAAAGACAGTCATGTTCCTAACAAACTCATATTGGTTGGTTTTGACACATAAATCTCACTTTTGAAAAATTTTCCTGTAGATAAACCTGCATGTGTAGCAATAGGGAGTGCAATATATTAAACAAAACTCAAATGCCTATTATTAAGGGACTATTTAAATTAATGAAATTTAATTAATTCACTATGGGATACCATAAAGCAAGGCGGAGAAGGAGGAGGAATTAAAGGAGTGGTAATTTTAAAGATAAGTGGAAGTAATTTCTTGCTTCCATGTTACCATTTTATGTTTTCTGGTTTTCTCTTACCACATTACTTATATTAATTGACTTACTATTTTAAAAACTCCATAGTGCAAACCATTTTTTAAGAAATAAGATTTTTTTCATTTGTTTTTACTATTCTTCATTTTCCTGATTCATCAGTTAGGTAAAACATATAACATAACAAATACATTTTTTTACCCTCACCACTAAGCAGCACTGGCCAGGCCTACAACAAGTATTTTTATTTCCTCCTAAAAATATGTTGTTCCATATTTCCCCAGGTAATTATTTTGTTTAAATCTTTTATTCCTTACTGGTTCCAAACTAATTATAACCCCAGCACTAATAAAGGTGCAGTACCTTCCTTCCCACTTTGGGGGGAAACTAAAGAAAAGTCTCATTTCCTTTTCTAAGTTTTATTACCGTTTTATGTGGTACAAGCTCTTCAAGTAGTAATAAAGCAAAGCAACAATAACCTCCCAAATATAGTGAACCTAAGATAGTCATCAAAATTAAACACTGTAGATTAATACTTCAAAGTCCTGAAAGGAAGTTTATTATTTTTCATTGTTTCAATGTGCCAGGTTATTAATAGAGTAAAGTAAATAACACCACTATCCTACTCCCTACTCGTGAGATGCAGCCTTTTGTGCAGAAGGAAAATAAATAAGCCACTGACAGCTGGGTTACTTGTACTATCGGGAGATGGATGGGGCATAAGCATCTGCTTTCTCTAGTCCAGGGCTCTTGGTTTTAGCATTTCCTTCGCAGTAGCAATGTTGAAGACTAAGAAAGGTCAGCATACGCAGATATGCAATTAAATAGTTTATTGTGAATGTTGACCAGTAAATGGGAGACAAACAACATAAAAATGCAAATTGCTTCTTTTTTTTAATACACAAACTTCCTTTTCATGACAATATTCACTATTAGGAACTCAGCAAAATTAAAGCTCAGCCTCCTTTTTTGAGGCAGAGCTAACTAGTGTACATGCAATAATAAACCCAAAAGTAGAAGAAAGTAGTATAATTATAAGATCTATTGGATAAGTATTTTCCCTAATTAATTAAAAACATGAAGCCGCCGATTCAAGAAATTCTATAAAAGTCAAAACAGGATTAAGAAAATCAATATTCATGCTTGGATAAATATTTAATTATATAGGGAAATATAGGTACTTTATAACATGATATTTGAAAAAGAACTGGCTTAATAAGCTAGCCAGAGTTATAAGAAGAGAATAAGCAAAAATTAATATAAAACTAATCTGAAAATAAGAGAAGGGCTGTCCCTATGAGATATTAAAATAAAGTAAAAATTGAAAGTAACTGAAATCATGTGGTGCTGATATATGAAAAGATAAGTAGATAACTTGAATATCCTCAAAACAATAGAAATACCCCATAATCAGATACTTGGATGGAAATTTGCAGTAAGTGAAGGATGGCAAATACAGAGTATGGAGAGGAAAGAGTCAATAAATGATATAACTATGAGCCATCTGGGGGTTGCTACAGAAGACGTGTAGGACAGTGATCCCCAAAGTCAAAGCATTTCAGATCGATCTGACAGTTTATTACAAGAAGAAGGTACAATTTAACAACAGTATTAACATAAGGACACCTGTTACAATAAGAGGTCTGGGGAGGCCAGATGCAGACATGCACCCTCTTCTTTCCTTGCAAGGTCTTTTCGGGACACAATTTCTCTCTTGACTCAGGAGCCACTGATGTGTACTTAGAACACCTTGGTACCAGGGAGCCCCAAATCTTGCTGGAAATTTTGATATTTTGCTGACCACCCAGGCACATTCCTTCACGGTAACCAGGCTCATCAGCAGGGACTTTTCAGGGTCTCTTTGTAACCAGGGTTGAATCATCAATCATTTGTCATTAAGAAACAAGGCTGCCCTAACCAGTTTGGCTCAGTGGATAGAGCATCAGCCTGTGGACTGAAGGGTCCCAGGTTCCATTCTGGTCAGGGGCATGTACCTTCGTTGCAGGCAGATCCCCAGTGGGGGGGTGTGCAGGAGGCAGCTGATTGATGCTTCTCATGGATGTTTCTAACTCTCTATCCCTCTCCCTTCTTCTCTGTAAAAAAATCAATAAAATATATTTAAAAAGAAAGAAAGAAACAAGAGCGACCAGCTAGTATAATCTCTCCAAAGAAAATTCTCAGACCAATGGCTACAAAGCTACATTTTAATTAGTGTTCAATGCCTTGTACAGGGATCAGCTCCATGCAGGAACTTTATTATAGAAGCAAAGCTTAGACTCATTCTACGCCTTCTCAATTAGCCCTCCTGCACAATGAGGAACTCATAGAAACAAAAAGGAAAAAACTAGAAACCCAAAGAAAAAATTCACAAAGGATATAATTATACGCTTCATTAAAAAAAGAAATACATGCCGGAACCGGTTTGGCTCAGTGGATAGAGCGTCGGCCTGCTGACTGAAAGGTCCCAGGTTCGATTCCGGTCAAGGCCATGTATGTACCTTGGTTGCGGGCACATCCCCAGCAGGGGGTGTGCAAGAGGCAGCTGATCGATGACTCTCTCTCATCGATGTTTCTAACTCTCTATCCCTCTCTTTTCCTCTCTGTGAAAAATCAATAAAATATATTTTTTTTAAAAGAAAAAGAAATACAACTGACTTTCATTTACATGTATGCAAAAAAAAAGTTTCAACATCAAAATAAAAGGAGAAGTGTAAATTCAAATGATATTAAGATGCCATTTGCACATGGAGGGTAATTTGGGAGTATCTAATATAGTTTAAATAAATGCACATAAACTGACTTAGCAACTTATTTTAAAAATATACTCGCACATGTGTGAAATTACATATGACTAAGGTTCTTTGTTACAGTAGTCATTTCTGTAATGCCAAAAGATAATAGTCTAAAAGTCAATAGAAAATTTCTAAAATCATGATACATCAATGGACTCTTGTATAGTTATAACGAAATAATGAAAAAGTTCTTTATGTACTGACATAAAATTTTGTCTAAAATATATTTTAAGTACTAAAAGGTGCAAAACCATGTAAACAGGTTGTTACCATTTGTGTAAAGATAAGGAAAGGCAGTTTATGTTCATTTGCTCATAATAGTCAAAAAACCTCTGGAAGAATAAAAAGGAAATTGGTAAGCCTGACTGCTTTAGAGGAATAGAATTGGGAGAATACAAAGACACGAGTAGCAAAGGAGCTTTTTGCTGCATATCCTTTTTAGTCTGTATTCTTGAACAATATAAATTGTTTTGTTTTCAATAATTATTAATTTTATTAACAAAAAATTCTCCACATTTTCTTTAGATATATATTTTTAAATTTTATTTTTCAATTACAGCTTAAATTCAATATTATTTTTTATTATTTTTAGGTGTTCAGCATAGAATTGTAGATAATTCTTAAACAATGTAAATTTTTAAACAAAAACAAAATAATGCCAACTAATGTCACAAGTATCATCAGTAATTGGTAGTTGTGTTAACATCTGTGTTGAAGGTTGTTATACGTTGTCAGGAATTTGGTAGACATGATTGCTATTGTTTGAAGTGTTCCAGGTGTCAGCTATTGCAAAGAAGCAGCAAGAAAAACTCATGCAACAAGAGAGAGCGCTGTTGAACTTCACACAGTGGAAGACAAGCCATGAGTTCCAGATAAGATATTGCCAAACCTTGATGCAAAACTCTTTCAGATCAGGTAACTGATATAAAAATAAGTTTTCACTTTGCAGATATGAATGTATGCACCAACCCTGCAGTGCAAATCAGTGATATTTATTTTATTTTCTGCAAAATTGTAGTCAGCATTTTATAATAGAAGAGACATCATTTGATCCACTCACTAGTTCAATCTTATTTCTGTACTAGAGGCTCTGTGCACAAAATCCCTGCACTGGGGAGGGGTCCCTCAGCCCAGCCTGTCCCCTCTCACATACTGGGAGCCCTCAGGGGATGTCCAACTGATGGCTTAGGCCCACTCCCAGTGGGAGGCGACCAGGCTGATCAGGGGAAGGCACCAGCCCCATCACCCCACTACTGCAGCCACTGCCAGTCACCACAGCCGCCAAGGTATTTTCATCAACACGGACTCCAGTCCCTTCACCATGAAAAAATGACAACATTCTTTAGGCACTTTCAAGATGTGTCTTTCATAGGATAGGACATTCCTTTCTTTCTTTTTTTATCCTCACCTGAGGATATGTTTCCATTGCTTTTCCTCCTTCCCTCCCATCGTTGGCTCAGCCCCAGTCTTGCCCCTCCAATTGCCAGCTTGGCTTCTGTCCCTCCAATGGGGGCAGTTAAAATTTTCATGTTTAACTCTCATAATTTAAGCATTAACTTGAGGCTTATTACTCAACTTGCCTAATGGTCCAATACATTTCCAACTAGACTAGGCCAGTAGGATTAACAGATAGGAAATTATAAGCAAAAAAATTAAAAAATTAAAAAAAAAGGAGTATAAATGAGATAAACTTAAGGAAAGGAGATATTTATAAAAATAGAATAATCATATCAATTCTTATAGAAGAGGAACAATTTGAAAAAAGATATTTCCAAGTTAATTTTATCTTAAACTAATTTAGAGACCTGTTGTACTTGAAAGTTATTGTATAAATATTACTATAGCGAGCCTCAGAGAAGCTGAAATTGGTAAGTACTACAACATATGGCCCATTCAATTAGAGTGGTCAGCTTCACTGGGGGTGGGTGATTCAAGGTGTTCTTTTGAGAGATGTTTTTTCTAATATTTTTGTAATCACTTTAATAAAGTAAAATGTTTTATTCAAAGCTCCTTGTCCAGACAACTGGATTCAGAATGGAAATAGTTGCTACCGTGTCTTCGAAACTTGGAATATTTGGAAAAATAGTAAAGAGGATTGTTTGAAGGAGGGCTCTCATCTTCTACAAATAGAGAGCAAAGAAGAAATGGTAAACACTGTTTTATGGCTTCATATCATTCTGAAAATCCCATGTTACCCATTAAAAGAAAGGACTAAATTGTAAATAAGATAGAATCCCTTAATATTTTATGACAGTAATATATTTGTTGTAGTAAAGGTTTAAAAGGGATAAAGTGGGAATTAATATGATTTGTGTTCCTTTTAACTGGAGAAGCAAAACAAAAAACAGAACTGTTATCCTGAAGTCACTTAGCAGATGAGAGTTCTATGTCCTTGGTTAATCAAAGATGAGAACGAGTGAAAGAAATACCATCCTGTGACATGCTAATCAACTTTAAAATATAAATACATTATCATTGTATATATGTTTTAAGTTTATTATTTTTAATGCTGTAGGGAAGAATAATAAACTATATATTTTTTTCAACTATCAAAGAAAATCAGAGATATAAAAATTGAGATACTGTCATGAAATGGAAAGATGTATGAAAATGATCATTTGCTAAATAAATTGTTTTATTAACATTAAACCCAGTTTACTAACATTTTAAATAAACAATGAAGTTTTCCTGAAATCATTCCATCTATATATATATATATATATGCATGAAATAGAATTCATGGTTACACATTTCTGACTTTATTAAGTATATGCAGTTATATTCAGTAATTTTTACAAGAAAAATGAGGGAACATGTGTTAACTATATGCAGTAAAGTAAAGCAAGGCAACTTGAACTAATTTACTACAATTATGGGTTTTCATTGTTTTCTGTGCAAATTTGGTGACAACATTAGTAATATTTCCTTTAACAAAAAATATACCTATAGTTAAGTTGTTTCTTGAATCTTCCAAACTATTTTTCATTTTGAAGTATACTGTGAAAGAATGATCTACAAGGTATTACATATTGATGCCAAGGATACTTTACTTCTGATAATGAGGATTAGGTATAACTCTTACCTTGTTTGACAAATAGCTCTGCCAAACTCTAAATCTGTTAAAACAATTTTAATACCAGGTGCCTATTTTTTCCCATGGTCTTCAACACTACATTGATCATAAGGCAATAGAAAATAAACTCTATGAAATGTATGTCTTCTTTTAAATACACTCCCTCCTTTCTCCAGCTTTAAAGTTCCATTCATTTCTGTCTAGGAAAGTTGGCACACTTTATATTTCATGGTATTTTGTTTTGTTTTCCCCACACCCTCAGTTCATCACCAGGTCTTGTTTCTTATAGGACTTCATCGCTGGCAGCCTGAGAAAGATCAAAAGTGGCCAGGATTACTGGGTGGGGCTTTCTCAGGATGGACCCAGCCAACCTTGGCTTTGGCAAGATGGCTCCACTCCATCCCCTGACCTGTAAGTATCTAAGGGGAAAATCGCAACGTTTCAAGAAAAAAATACACAAGGAAATTCAAATGTTCATTTTATTTTATACCTGAGATGTCCTCCAGAACACATACCCAGCGTTATCATTTCATAGACTTTTGATTGAAATCAAGCCTGAGTAGTTTAAGCGTAGCTTCATGGCTTCTAAACCTTCTTCTTTCCTTCTTCTCAGCCTTCTTCTCAGCTTTACTGCCTCACTCTAGAACAGTGGTTCTCAACCTTTCTAATGCTGCAACCCTTTAATACATTTCCTCATGTTGTGGTGACCCCCAACCATAAAATTATTTTCGTTGCTATTTTATAACTGTAATTTTGCTACTGTTAATGAATCATAGTGTAAATATCTGTGTTTTCCAATGGTCTTAGGCTCTACAGCAGCGGTTCTCCTAAGACCATTGGAAACCACAGGTATTTACATTATGATTGATTAACAATAGCAAAATTACAGTTATGAAGTAGCAACGAAAATAATTTTATGGTTAGGGGTCACCACAATATGAGGAACTGTATTAAAGGGTCGCAGCATTAGAAAGGTTGAGAACCACTGCTCTAGAACATTTATATCAACATCTAAGAATCTGAATAATATTATGTACTTATCTAATGTATTTTCCTTTGTAAATTTAATAACTAGAGAGTGCTAAGGGAAAGAGACTATAGTAATTATTAAGGATTTTCCATATTTAGCTTTTTCAAATAGACCATAGAGAAACTGGTGAACAGAATAGAGTCCCTTAGTATTTTGAGAATTAAGAGTTAGAGTAGATATTCTACTCTAGAGCCTATCTCTATGCTTACATATACAATTTGTTCGAATTATGCTAACATACTATTTTTAAAAATATATTTTATTGATTTTTTACAGAGAGGAAGAGAGAGGGATAAAGCGTCAGAAATATCGATGAGAGAGAATCATCGATCAGCTGCCTCCTGCACACCCCCACTGGGGAGTGCCCACAACTAAGGTACATGCCCTTGACCGGAATCGAACCTGGGACCTTTCAGACCGCAGGCAGACGCTCTATCCACTGAGCCAAACCGGTTTCGGCGCTAACATACTTTTATTGAGAGAAAACAGCTCTGTTCTTGAATAAGGGGGGCAAAACTACTATAGGAGGGTGCCATATATTAAAACAAAATAGAACAAAACAAAAAGTTACACACCTCTCATAAATTACCCACAAGAATACCTCTGTAAGCCCCATACCTAACCTCAGGTATACTGATTCTTCTCTTTAGGTTACCAATAAAGAGAGCCCAATCAACTCACCAGCTCTGTGGATACTTCAGAGACAAGGTTCTTTTCCCCACTAACTGTACCGCTTGGAAATATTTTATCTGTGAGAAGTACACGTTAAGATTCCCTGCCTGAAAGAAGCTGATTTCGAAGAAATGCCAACGAGCAAATGCAGAAGTGAACTTCTATGTGGGCTAAACTAGCTACGTGGGACTCAAAACTTATTTTTGCATTTACCATGGGTAATATTCCTGCATGCTTCACAGACATCCTTTTGACAGTGTTCAAATTGCCAAGAATAAAATTGATTTAAGACTACAGAAGATAAAACCCTGAAAGGTTGAAAACAAACTGAAGAAAATCACTTCCATTTGTCGTTTTGTTTTTGTTTTTAATCTAGATTGACCATAAACTCTATACAGAAATATATGTCACTAAGGAGATGATGCAGTTCTAGCTGACTAATTTTTTAAATAAATAAATGCTGACTTTAAAACTCACTGTCTGCCAGATCTTTTTAAAAAATATATTTGATTGATTTATTTTTATTTTTATTTTTATTTTTTTACAGAGAGGGAGAGGGATAAAGAGTTAGAAACATTGATGACAGAGAAACATCAATCAGCTGCCTCCTTTACACTCCCCACTGGGGATTTGCCCTCAACCAGGGAACATGCCCATGACTGGAATAAAACCTGGGAACCTGGGACCCTTTAGTTCACAAGCCGACGCTCTATCCACTGAGCCAAACCAGTCAGGGCTGCCACATCTTTCATGCATTTAATAGATTTCCAATGCATCTTTATCAGACTGGTAGGCTAGGAGCCCGGGATATGGACTATCAAATTGGAAGGAAGAGATGCTGATATCTGTTGCCTGTAAGACAGTGCCCTGTTTGGAACTGTGGATTTCTTCTAGAGAGATAAACTACCAGCACTCACAAAAATGGAAGGGACAGTCAGCCTGCCAATACCAGCCTGTCTCTGGTGAAGGAGAGCTGTGGGCTTCCCTTCTTCCTCTCACTGACCATCCCCACAATTCACAAATCAAAGGACTCTCAAAGGGTAGCTCTCCAGCACCTCTAACTGTATCCCTCTGTGCCTTCATTTCTCTATTGTAAAATAATAAGAGAACTTATTTCAAAATACTTTTGAGGTTTAGATCATTAATATATGTAAGTTGCTAAGAACAGTGCCTTGGGTAGCGTTTGACACTGTGTAGGTGCTTGCTATTTTTATTCTATTATTATTATTATTATTATTATTATTATTATTATTATTATTTGTAGTAAATCGCCAATCATCTCTAGGCATCTGCCTTATGTTGTATTCCAGGTTAAAGTTATCTCTTTTCCTGCTCATGTCCCAGGAGTATTGGAAGGATAAAGTTTATGTGTAAAATGCCAGCAACTGTCTGAAGAGAATTTCTCTTTTAAAGTGAATAAATTTCTTAAAGTACATTTGTAGATAATTTGTGTCCTATCTGTAGACTCCTCAAACATGGATTAGTTTGTTCTCAAGAGACAGTGGATATGAAAGTATCTTATGATCTATGGGAAGGAAAAATTCACTAGTTATTATTACTCTAGAAGAGGCTCGGTGTATGAAATTCATGCACAGAGGATGGGGGGTTTGTCCCTCAGTCCAGCTTGCACCCTCTCCAATCTGGGACCCCTCAGGGGATGTCCAAACAGGCAGTCAGAATCCTTCTTACAATCCAGGACTGCTGGCTCCCAACCGCTGGCCTGCTTGCCTGATTGCCCCTAACCACTTCTGCCTGCCACCCTGATCACCCCCTAGCCACCCCCCTGCCAGCCTGATTGATGCCTAACTGCTCCCCTGCCAGCCTGTTTGTCCCTAATGCCCTCCCCTGGAGCCTGGTCACCCCTAACTGCCCTCCCCTGCTGGCCTGGTCACCCCTAACTGCCCTCCCCTGCTGGCCTGGTCACCCTTAACTGCCCTCCCCTGCCAGCCATCTTGTCATCACAAGATATGGAGGTGGCCATCTTGTAACAGCCATCTTGTGATGACATGGGGGCGGCCATCTTGTGACATGAGGGCAGGTGGGTCAATTTGCATATTACATCTTTAGTATATAGATTACTCTGCTACCCCTTACTATCACTACAATAACTTACTACACAGAAGATTCTCATTAAATATTTGCTAACTGCAATATAATTTTATTAAATCTTCATTTTCGCAAGGAGTAGCTGAGCTACACTAGATTCTCATTTTTCTTTATAATAAAGATAGCACTTAAATAATTAAAGTAAAATAAAACCTAATTCACTGAAATGGTGCAAATCATTTAAGCAAACCTGTAAGTCTATTGTAAAAGGTGACCTCTGAAGAGTAAGGTCCTTTAAGGAAGAGAATTGCATGTTTTTATGGGTTTTTCTTTATTTACCCTTAACCTTCAGTTTAAATGGTGGGGATTTCAATATGAGGGATTGTCTCTAGATTTCTGCTGAAACCTAGAAAAGGAGACAAGCCAAGAAAACAGCATGTGTCTGGTTTTCACAGCTGGCAGCTGGTAGCTGGCTATAATAACCTGGAATAAAGGAAGAACAATAGCAATTTTTAGTAGTGAAGACTGTTTGTCTTCAAGACTTTTCAAAGTATTGTCAGGAGCTATGTTTAGAGAAGCATAGGAAGTGTTTAATAATTCTTCTAGGTAAAAGCACAATGAAGCAAAAGGCAAACATCCTTCAGCTGACGTCATCCCGCTGGTATGTGATGCAGTATTTACAAGTCGGGATTTTATCTACAGTGCAGCTGGCAGAGCTCCTTTAAATTCCCTCAGTGGAGATAACTGCTGTGCACTCAAGTACTACAGGTGGAAGGTGTTTTCCTGCGGGTTGATTTTGGCCCAGAATGTCAAGGCCTTTTTCAAGGCAGTGATAAGAGACTGGGCCTTAGCCCTGGGATAATCAGTTTTATAGCCTGTCTAGCTGTACCAGTAGCAAATAGAGTATCTTGATTCATCTCAATGAATTCCAAGTTGGCTTTTAAAAATGGGAAAGAACCCAGCCAGCATGGCTCAATGGCTGAGACATCGACCTATGAACCAGGAGGTCGCTATTTAAGTCACGATCAGAGCATATGCCCAGGTTTCGGGCTCAATCCCCAGTGTGGAGCAAGCAGGAGGCAGCCGATCAATGATTCTCTCTTATCATTGATGTTTCTATCTCTCTCTCTTCTTCCTTCCCTCTGATCTCAATAAAAATATTTTTTTAAATGGGAAAGAAAAGAAAACATGCCCTGGGGGGGCGGAAGGGTTGTCCTTCAACCCAGCCTGCACCCTCTTCAATCTGGGACCCCTCAGGGATGTCCAAACAGGCAGTTGGACATCCCTCTCACAATCCAGGACTGCTGGCTCCCAACGGTTCGCCTGCCTGCCTGATTGCAAAAGTAAAAAAAAAATCTGTCCTACGAAAGTAAAGAGGCTTTGTAAGTACATTAAAGTACATTCACCGAGTAAAAAGAAAAACAAAACAAAACATTAGAGTAATAAGATTGAAAGACTAATAACCGTTAGTCTATTAGTCTACTCATACAATGAACCTCGAAAAAATTATGTACAATTTAACTTGAATTATGCTGCTTTTCCTATTCTTCAAAATTGATAAGAATCCCTTCACCAAGTATTTGGCTCCCAAATATTAAGGCCAGCCCTGAGGCAACCTAATAGACTATTTATTTAATAATTTGTTTATATCCCCAAAGAAAAAGCTCCCATTACACTGCTCACACTTCCTGCTGTTATAGGGCCCAAGACCTGTTTCCTGTTGATAAGTTTTAAGAGCTGGTTCAATATCCTCAGGAAAAGAAATAGCTCATTTTGTACCCTGGGGAACTGGGTCTACCAGGAAAGGCCATGTTCCTCGTTTGACTTTTCCTACAGTTGCTTCAGAATTACCTACACACACAAGAGCCTAGACAAAGTCTTCTCTTGCAAAAAAAAAAAAAAATTTCGGGCGGTTCTGCCCTCTCTGATTCTCTATGGAAAATTGATCTCAGCAAATCATATTTCCCAATTAATGTTATAATTATTTTCTATTCTTAATTTTTATTTCTTTTTTTTTAATTTATTGATTTTTTTTTTTGAGAGAGAAAATCATCAATTTGCTGTTCCATTTTATTTATGCATTTATTGGTTGCTTCTTGTATGTGCCCTGATCAGATATTGAACTCTCAACTCTGGTATATCGGGATGATGCTGTAACCAATTAAACTACCTGGCCAGGGCTATTTTTAAAATTGTTTTAAATTGTGGAGAGAATGTTGCACCATACTCCTTTTTTGTTTTTTAATATTATTTAAATATTGTGATCAATATTGTGGGCTTTATTGTACAGATATGGGGGTAATTGAGGGCAAAGACAGAGATAAATAGCTCAAGAGCAGCCAAAAATGTCAAACAAGTGCTTTGTTTTCCTTTTCCTCCCTCACTGTTTAAAGTGATACTTTCCCTTAGGTTGCAGATTTGGAGATAGAATACTATTCAACACCTATCTTCCAAGCAGGTAAACTTTCTAAAGCAATGTCATTTAAAGAAACTTTTGTCATCCAACCCTGAACATGAGTCAAAATTTGTGTGCCCTGTCTATATTTTACAAGTTAGTCCACAAAGTCATTTGATTTCCTCATATTAACTGTATTTTTTTTGCTGTAGTAACAAGATTTAAATAACACTTAACTGCCTAACTAAAGGTCTAATCCACATTTCATATTATGTGCTTACTACATTAACTGCATGCATTAAAAATGTGCACTCATCATGGAAAATACTTGGTAATATCCACAGCTCCCCAATGTAGGTGCCTTTCTATAATTTGTTCATTAATGCAGGTCTCCAGAAAAGGTTGCTTATGCTTGTTTGTGCTCCCTTTATTTTAAAACTAGTGTCCTGGTGCACAAAATTCATGCATGGGGGTGGGGGAGGGAAGAGGAGGTGTCCTTCAGCCCAGCCTGGGCCCTCTCCAATCTGAGACCCCTCGGGAGATGTACAGCTGCTGTTTTGGGGCCTAAACTGGCAGTCGTACATCCCTCTCACAATCCGGGACAGCTGGCTCCTAACAGCTCACCTGCCTGCCTTCCTGATCACCCCTAACCACTCTGCCTGCTAGCCTGATCACCCCTAACTGCCCACCCCTGCCAGACTGATTGCCCCCCCCCCTTCCGCTGGCCTAATCACCCCCAACTGCCCCCCCTGACCAGCCTGCTCACCCCCAACTGCTCCCTCCACCAGCCTGATCGCCCCCACATGCCTCCCTGCTGGCCTTTCCACACCCAAATACCCCTCTGCCAGCCTGGTTGTCCCCCAACCGCCCCCCCTCCACTGGCCTGCTCGCCCCCAACTGCCCACCTCACTGGCCTGCTCATCCCAAACTGTTCCCCTATGCTGGCCTGTTTGCTTCCAACTGAGACCCCACTCCCACCAGCCTGCTTGCCCCCAACTGCCCTCCCCTGCAGGCCTTATCACCCTTAACTGCTGC